CAGTGCAAAACCAAGCCTTTTGAAATGGAGGGGGGGGAGGAGAGATGATTCTTTGGAAAAACAGTTGAAGTGCTAGGTTGCATGGCAAAACAAAGAATAAAAGGAGTTAAGCGTGACTGGATATGTTTTCTCTCTGTAGGAAGGCACTGTTTTCCTTTTCTGAACCAGCCTGATGAAAAAACGGGTGAGGGGAAACTGAGGCTGGGATAGGACATAGAACAATAAAGTTGGAAGGGACCTTGGAGGTCTTCTAGTCCAACCCCCTGCTTCAGCATGAGACCCTATACCAGGGGTCTTCAAACTTGGCTCTTTTATGACTTGTGGACTTCAACTCCCAGAATTCCTCAGCCAGCATGGGGGAACTAAGGCCCCTTCATGACTTGTGGACTTCAACTCCCAGAATTCCTCAGCCAGTATGGAGGAACTAAGGTCCCTTCATGACTTGTGGACTACAATTCCCAGAATTCCTCAGCCAGCATGGAGGAACTTAGGTCCCTTCATGACGTGTGGACTTCAACTCCCAGAATTCCTCAGCCAGCATGGGGGAACTAAGGCCCCTTCATGACTTGTGGACTTCAACTCCCAGAATTCCTCAGCCAGCGTGCCTGGCTGAGGAATTCTGGGAGTTGAAGTCCACAAGTCATAAAAGGGCCAAGTTTGAAGACCCCTGTAGTAAATTGTCTGTGTTTCGTTTTTTTTTTCCCCTAATGTAGAAGAGGACAATTTTCTTTCCATTTTTGCTGACTCCTGCACACTTCTGTCTTTCATCCATGAGGGTTAATGAAGCCAGTTTTAGCCATCTGGTGCTACTACCTTCCTAGCTCGGTTTTATATAGCCCACAGAGATGTGCAATTCAGTTTTCACTCTCTTTTCCTCTTCTGCTTTTTCATTTTTGAAAAGGCTATTTTTGTTAGAGTTGTTAGTGGGCTGCTAAAACCGGTTGCTCTTTCATGAGCACCTGGAGGAAAAAAAAATCAAAGAGGCCACGAGTGACTATATTAAGAAGCGGGCTTCCTGGTTGTGTAAGGGGGAAAGTCTTTTTGGAGCGATTTCGTTTCTCCTTTTCTTTTCTTTGTTTCCTCTTTCCTTAGCTTTTAAAATCGCGTGTCTAAATGCCACCGATATAACAAAACAATCACTGTGTTATAGGAAAAACAAAACAAGCCCTGCTCACCATATATCCAAACCATAGTCGCCTCCCGTCTAGACTGCTGCAACGGGCTTTACGCGGGGCTGCCCTTGAAAACTATCCAGAAGCTTCAGTTGGTTCAGAATGCAGCAGACTGCGTGGCTTTGTGCAAGTGTGGATTTGCCCACGTGTGACCTTTCCCAAGCTGCATTGGTTTCTGATTTACCTCTGGGTCCAATTCGAGGTTCTGGGTGTCACCTTCAAAGCCGAATGTCTATGGAGATCCTCGGTTGTCCCAAAGGTGCTTTTTTAAGGAGGCAACTGGACTTTCTTGTTTTGCTTTGAAGACGTTTTACTTCTCATCCAAGAAGCTTCTTCATATTTGACCAGATGGTGGGGAAGTCCACAAAAGGGCCACGTTTGAAGACCCTTGCTCTAAAAGAATGCAAATAATCACCTGTCTGCAAGGAGTATAAATCTTTCCCTTCCCCACCATCCAGTCAGAGCTGAAGAAGCTTCTGGGATGAGAAGCGAAACGTCTTCAAAAAAACCCAAAAAAGTCCAGTTGCCTCCTGAAAAAGCACCTTTGGGACAACTATGACCTGAATGATTGAGAATCTCCATAGACATTGAGCTATGCACTTTGGGATGAACGCCCTTTGAATGGTGCAGGGAGTATGAACGGATTTCCAGAAAACATTGCACACTAAAGGAACCTTTTGCACTTCAGTTTGAGACGCAGACAACACAGACTCATCCCCAACAGCCTGTGTTCCTGTCTTCAACAGGGAAGGGGCCCAGGACAGAAAAAATCCTGCAGCCTAGAAGGCTCCACACCCATTTGCACCACTCAGGTGACCCTGAGGACACAGATAAACCTCCAAGTGGCCTCAACAACTCTCTAAAAGAAGGCAAATGACCAGCTGTCTGCAAGGAGTATAAATCCTTCCCTTCCCAACCATCCACTCAGAGCTGAAGAAGCTTCTTGGATGAGAAGTGAAAAGTCTTCAAAGAAAAACCAAGAAAGTCCAGTTGCCTCCTTGAAAAAGCACCTTTGGGACAGCCATGACCTGGATGGCTGAGAATCTCCATAGACATTTAGCAAGGCACTTTTGCATGAACATCCTTCGAATGGTGTGGGAGTGTAAACTGATTTCCAAAAAACATTGCAGACTACAAGAACAGGGCAGAAAGCATCCTGCAGCCAGAAAGCTCCACACACATTTGCACTACTCAGGTGACCCTGAGGACACAGGTAATAAACCTCCAGGTGGCATCAACAACTCTCTAAAAAAATGCAAATGACCAGCTGTCTGCAAGGAGCATAAATCCTTCCATTTCCCACCATCCAGTCAGAGCTGAAGAAGCTTTTGGATGAGAAACGAAATGTCTTCAAAGAAAAACAAGAAAGTCCAGTTGCCTCATGAAATAGCACCTTTGGGACACCTTTAAAACCCTTACCTGGCTTTGGGATGAGGTGATTTGAAGGACCGTCTTTCCACCATCACATCTATCAGACCCAACAGAGTAGGGAGGTAGGGAATGTTAGGGTCCCTTCTCTTACTGACTGGATGAAGAAGGCTCTTTCCTGTGGTGGGTCCCTCCGTGTGTAACATCATCTCCGTGGAAATAAGATTGCCCCCCCCCCGAGTTTGACACTCTTTCAAAAGGTCCTGAAGATATGGAGCCCATCAATATTGGTTTGGGGGTCCCTTTAAGGTCTGGAAGATACATTAGAAACGGGTAGGCAACATTGGCTCTTTTATGACTCATGGACTTCAACTCCCAGAATTCCTGAGCCAGCATAGAGGAACTATGGCCCCTTCATGACTTATGGACTTCAACTCCCAAAATTCCTGAGCCAGCCCATGGCTCAGCTTGGAAACCTCTGCCTTTCCCCTCAGCATGGCTGCCTCAGGAATTCTGGGAGTTGAAGTCCACGAGTCATAAAAGAGCCAAGATTGCCTACCCCTGCATTAGAATATGTATGATCATCATCAGCTATTCTCACAGCTGCATTCTGAACAAAGTCTTGGAGTCGTTAGTAGGTTTGAAGTGCTTGGATTGGGCCAAAACAAGCAGGATTATCCACCATTTTAAGAAAACACCAGACCACAGCAGTTTTATATGCTTTAAAGTCTGGCTCTGATAAGGTAAGAATATCGACTAAAAGAGATTTAAGTTACCTAACAGCTCCATCTGCTGTCTCTTTTTCTTTTTTTTTTCTTCTAGTCCAGTCTTCCGTGTCCAGTATGTTTTGTTTATCTCTGGAAAGCTTTTATATGCCACCAACTTCACAGCTAGGTTCATTGGAAACTTCTACATTGCACTAATTTCTAGATGCTTTTAAATAACATTTATGCAGAGAGAGCACTATTGCTGTCTTTGGTCCATAGGTTTTTTTTTTCCTTTTGGGCTGCAGTCAAAGAAGGAAGAATGCAGTTCTAGGCTGCATCAACAGAGGGATAGAATCAAGGTCACGCGAAATGTTAATGCCAGCTTATAAGGCCTTGGTAAGGCCACACTTGGAATACTACATCCAGTTTTGGTCACCGCGATACAAAAAGGTGTCACAACTCTAGTAAGAGTGCAGAGAAGAACAATAAAGATGATTAGGGGAGTGGGGGTTAAAACATAAAGAACGGTTGCAAGAACTAGATATGTCTAATGAAGAGAAGGAGTAGGGGTAATATGATGGCAGTCTTCCAGTGTTTGAGGCTCTGTCACAGAAAAGAGTGGGTCAATCTATTCTCAAAGCACTTGGGGGCAGGACAAGAAGTAATGGATGAAAGCTTATCAAAGAGAGATCTGATCTAGAATTAGGGAGAAATGTATTGTCATTGGGAACAATTAATCAGTGGAATGGCTTGCCTCCAGAAGTTGTGGATGCTCCATCACTGGAGGCTTTCAAGAAGAGACTGGACAGCCACTTGTCTTAAATGGTCTAGGGCAGGGGTAGGCAACCTTGTCTCTTTTATGGCTCGTGGACTTCAACTCCCAGAATTCCGGAGCCAGCCATGCTGAGGGGAAAGGGAGAGGTTTCCAAGCTGAGTCATGCTGGCTCAGGAATTCTGGGAGTTGAAGTCCACGAGTCATAAAAGCGCCAAGGTTGCCTACCCCTGGTATAGGGTCTCCTGCTTGAGCAGCAGGCTGAACTAGAAGACCTCCAAGGTCCCTTCCAACTCTGATATTCTGTTAATCTAGCTGCCAGCTTTCTGTGAACTCATCCTTCCTCAATGTCCTTGGACACTTCTGCCAATCAGCCAGGGGGACCTCTATCTTGATGTCTAGTTTTTTTTTTTTCAGAAATCCCTCTGGATGAATCAAGCCTCTCAGATGGCCCAATCTTGTTTTTTTCTTGCTGAAAACACTTTTGTGAACAAGGCTCTCATCATCTTTTAGTCTGTAGGTTTCTTGTCATTGAGAACAATTAATTTGTAGAACGGCTTTCCTCCAGATGTGGATGCTCCATCACTGGAGGTTTTCAAGAAGAGACTGAACAGCCAATTGTCTGGAATGGTATAGGGCAGGGGTAGGCAACCTTGGCTCTTTTATGACTTGTGGACTTCAACTCCCAGAATACCTGAGCCAGCATGGGGGAAACTTTGGCCCCTTCATGACTTGTGGACTTCAACTCCCAGAATTCCTGAGCCAGCCAGGCTGAGGGGAAAGGGAGAGTTTCCAAGCTGAGCCATGCTGGCTCAGGTATTCTGGGAGTTGAAGTCCACGAGTCATAAAAGAGCCAAGGTTGCCTACCCCTGGTATAGGGTCTCCTGCTTGAGCAGTGGGCTGGACTAGAAGACCTCCAAGGTCTCTTCCAATCCTGTTGTTTTGTATTCTGTAAGGGGTTTTTTTCCCATGTTGTTTCAGATCGATCACTTTGGTTTTGCTGAAAATCGCACTTTCAAGCAGCGTTACCTCCTAGCAGATCAGCACTGGAAGAAAGACGTTGGATCCATCCTCTTCTACACTGGCAATGAAGGGGACATCTCCTGGTTTGCAAATAACACGGTGCAAAATATCTCATATCCCATTAAAATATTTTTACAGTATAAAGGTTGAAAGATCAAAGGTTATTTTTTACTGAATTATTATTATTATTTAAAAAAAATCAAAATCTTTGCTACATTCCAGGGTTTCATGTGGAATGTGGCTGAAGAATTAGATGCGATCCTGGTTTTTGCTGAACACCGATATTATGGGGAGTCTTTGCCTTTTGGAAATAAGTCATACACTGTAAGTATACACTCCTAATTCTAAGTGGTCACAGGCTAAGATCATATTTTGAACTCAGCTATAATGTGGTTTCATTTTGGCTTACTAAGGTGGGTTCTTACATTTTATCGTTTTATCATTGGGTGTGATCTAGGCCATCTTGGTTAATTGGTTGTGTGGTTATAAAACTCTGGCTTAGTGTTTACCTGTGGGACGTAGTGTTTACGTGTGAGAACTCAATGATTGTTGCTAGTTTTGGGGCAAGATCCGTTTAATTTGTACATATTTTAATCTTTTATCTCTCCTTGATTAATTTCCATTCTTTGCTTCTTGTCCTGCCTTCAGGCGCTTTGGAGAATAGCTTGACTCCCTCTTCTTTGGGGCAGTCCCTGAGATATTGGGAGGCTGCTATCATGTCACCCCTAGTCCTTCTCTTCATTAAACTAGACATACTCAATTCCAGCAAGCCTTCTTTATATGTTTTAGCCTTCAGTCCCCTAATCATCTTTGTTGCTCTTCTCTGCACTCTTTCTAGAGTCTCTAGAAATATTCTAATGGTCCTATACAAAAGTTTTGTGGTCTCATTTCAGGATGCCAAGCATCTGAACTACTTGACTTCAGAGCAAGCTCTGGCTGATTTTGCAATACTTATCCAGCACTTGAAAAATACGATTCCTGGAGCGCAGAATACTCCAGTGATAGCCATAGGGGGATCCTATGGAGGAATGCTCGCTGCCTGGTTCCGAATGAAGTATCCCCACATAGTAATTGGGTGAGTCTCTAAACCAACATGGCACTATTTCCTGTGGAACTACAGAACTATTTCCTGTATCTAGCTTCATATTTCTCCACGAGTGATTTTTGATTACTACATTAGATTTAGAGTTTAGCAGTCACAGTGCTAGAAAGCAGGAGTCCATGAATTCAAGGTCTGCCTTGGCCATGAAAGTCAGCTGGGTGACTTTGGGCCAATCATCAGGAGACTATGAGTTCCAGTCCTGCCTTAGGCATGAAAGATGACTGAGTGACTTTGGGCCAATCACCAGGAGACTATGAGTTCTAGTCCTGCTTTAGGCATGAAAGCTGGCTGGGTGAACTTGGGCCAATCCCTTTCTCTCAGTCCATCCCACCTCACAGGGTTGTTGTTGTTGAGGAAAGTGTGTTGGACAGAGTTGTTTCATTGCGAGATGGACAGCAAATAAATTTAATAAATAAATTAGTATTTGCCGCCTTGAGTTGTTTGTAAAAATAGTAAAGGTGGGGCACAAATAAAATAAATTTTGGAGAAGGCCACATTGGAAGAGATTGGTCCACCAAGGGGTTGGAACAGTTTTCTAGTTGGAAGTTCTCCTTTGAGTCCAGCATAATCCAGTATATGAGTGTTAGTGGTGGGATTCAAATACCTGAACAACCGGTTCTCTGAGTGGAAGCAGGCCTCAGAGTCCAAGGCCTAGAACGGACTTCCAGAAGTGGCATCCATGCACTTCCGGCAGGCCACTCTAGGCCTGGGAGGCCTCCTGCAGCCAGTTCTCCGAACTCAAAAATTTTTAGCTACCAGTTCTACCAAACCAGTGTGAACTGCCTGAATCCCACCCACTGGTTGGTGTGTTTAAAAGCGAGATGGGTGGCATATAAGTTTAATAAATGCAGGTAGTCCTCAACTTACAACAGTGCATTTAGTGACAGTCCAAAGTTACAATGGCACTGAAGAAAGTGACTTATGACGGTTTTTCCCACTTACGACCGCTGCAGCATCCCCATGGTCATGGGATCAAAATTCAGACACTTGGCAACTGACTCATATTTATGACAGTTGCAGTGTCCCGGGATCATGTGATCCCCTTTTCCGACCTTCTGAACAAGCATAGTCAATGGGGAAGCCAGATTCAGTTAATAGCCGTGTTACTAACTTAACAACTGCAGTGATTCACTTAACAGCTGTGGCAAGACGGGTCGTAAAATGGGGCCAAATTCACTTAATGAATGTCTTGCTTAGCGACAGGAACTTTGGGCTCAATTGTGGTCCTAAGTCGAGGACTACCTGCAAAGAAACAAATAAAAAGAATTTACCTCAACTGAGGGCTTTATTCTCTAACACAAACTAGCTTAAACAGAAGGCGAGAAGGATATAAAAATTAAAATTGAAATAGGAATGAAAATCAGGAGAGAGAAAAAGCAGTTGAAATAATCTGCTGAACTTGTCTACTTGTCTAGGAGGGAAACAACTTGCTTTTTTTTTAACACTGAGTGTTAAGCCATCACCAAGAGAGGAATTTGTATCACAGAATCTTGTTTAGCTTTTCCCCTTCAGACGTGGCAGAATTCAGACATTAGTGATGACACTCAAATTGCAATGCTAATCGTGTGTGTCTAAGACAGGGGTCTTCAAACTTGGCCCTTTTATGACTTGTGGACTTCAACTCCCAGAATTCCTCAGCCAGACACGCTGGCTGAGGAATTCTGGGAGTTGAAGTCCACAAGTCATAAAAGGGCCAAGTTTGAAGACCCTGGTCTAAGACAACTGGCTGAGGAACAATTCAACACTGCATTAATCATTTCATTCAGTTACTTTTATTATTAGTGACCAGGTTTTCATCAGAATTATTGTAACTCTTGTATTTCTGGCCTGACTTTCTTTTATTATTATTGGCCACCTGTTCAGTTGAAATTAATTTAACTTTTGTAATTGTTGAGTTGTCCTGTGGCAAATTGTCCCACGGCCGTGGTGAGTTGTTTCATCCTAAATCAGGGTTACTTTTTTGGGGGGGAAATAGCCCATGAGAAAAGATTAGCTCATCTCATAGCTGGAATCAGATTGCTTGGCCGGTCCAAAACATGATCATCAGTCTGTTGGTTGCCATGGATGCTGGTTTACACCATTTTTTCTCAACCCTGACAATTTTAAAGATGTGTGGACTTCACCTCCCAGAATTCCACAACCAGTTCTCAAGCTTGAGGAACGGTGCTCTAGATTTCTTTTATTGTGTACTTTGTCTCTTTGCTTGCAGAGCTTTGGCTGCGTCGGCCCCCATTTGGCAGTTTGACAGCTTGGTTCCTTGTGGTTCCTTTTATAAGATAGTGACTGAAGATTTCAGAAAAAGTGGGCTTGGCTGTTCAGAAACCATACGAAATTCCTGGGCAGCCATTAAGCGTATTGCTGGCACAGGTAAGACGCTAACAAAGAATATTTACTGTATGGAGATTCTCAGCCAACACAACATACGTTCACACTTCAAACCCAAGAATATACTAAGGCAGAAGCTTGTCCACCCCAAGGCCACACTTGGAATACTGCATCCAGTTTTGGTCACCACAATGTAAAAAAGATGTTGAGACTCTGGAAAGAGTACAGAGAAGAGCAACAAAGATGATTAGGGGACTGGAGGCTAAAACATTTAAGGAACGGTTGCTGGAATTGGGTATGTCTAGTTTAATGAAGAGAAGGACGAGGGGGGACATGATAGCAGTGTTCCAATATCTCAGAGCCTGCCACAAAGAAGAGGGAGTCAAGCTATTCTCCAAAACGCCTGAAGGCAGGACAAGAAGCAACGGATGGACACTAATCAAGGAGAGAAGCAACCTAGAACTAAGGAGAAACTTCCTGACAGTGAGAACAATTAACCAGTGGAACAACCTGCCTCCAGAAGCGGTGAATGCTCCAACACTGGAAGTTTTTAAGAAGAGACTGGACAGCCATTTGTCCGAAATGGTATAGGGTTTCCTGCCTGAGCAGGGGGTTGGGCTAGATGACCTCCAAGATCCTTTCCAACTTTATTATTATTGTTGTTGTTGTTGTTGTTGTTGTTGTTGTTGTTGTTATAAAACACCCAGACACAAACTGAGCAACGTGGTATATGCACTACAATGCAGTGAGCCTTGTGCAGATCTGTACATTGGGGAAACAAAACAACCACTTCATAAACCCATGGCACAACATAGGAGAACAAACCCATCAGGACAAGATTCAGCAGTCCATCTGCATTTAAAAGATAAAGGCCACTCTTTTGAAGACAGCAAAGTCCACATTTTGAACAGGGAGGACCGCTGGTTTGAAAAAGGTGTCAAAGAGGCCATCTATGTCGAAATTGAACAGCCCTCCCTTAACAGAGGGGGAGGGATACGACACCATCTATCTCCAGTCTACAACACACAGCCCTTTCCGCAAGAAGACCCCACACCCATTTGCACCACTAAGGTGACCCTCCAGGTGGCCTCAAGGACTCTGTAAAACAGGGGTGTCAAACTGCCGGCCCGCGGGCTGGATGCGTCACGCGGAAGCCGCGCCCACCCCATTGCCGGCAATGGCAAAACAGTCCCGATACGTCGCACGAAAACAGTCCTGATACGTCGCGCGACGTCAAGTGACATCGCGAGTTTGACATGTCTGCTCTAAAAGAAGGCAAATGACCAGCTGTCTGCAAGGAGTGTAAATCCTTCCATTCCCCACCCTCCAGTCAGAGCTGAAGAAGCTTCTTGGATGAGAAGCGAAACGTCTTCAAAGAAAAACAACAAAGTCCAGTTGCCTCCTGAAAAAACGTCTTTGAGCTAAAAAAGAATAATTGCTAAGCTGGGGAATTCTGGATGTTGAAATCCATCCATCCTCAAATGGCCAAGATTGAGAAACTCGGATGTGTATATATTGAACTGTAATTTCTTGATTTTTTCTTTGTCTTTAGAGAAAGGCTTGCAGTGGCTTTCCCACACATTTCATTTGTGCAGTCCCTTGAAAACCACAACAGATGTCATCAACTTCAAAGAATTGCTGAGAGAGGCATGGATATATTTGGCTATGGTAGACTATCCATATGGAGCAGCCTTCTTACAGCCTCTTCCTGCCTGGCCTGTTAAGGTAAGTAAACCTAAAGTGTCTCTTTTGTTTTCTATGACCCAACCCTGCAGTTGGCTTTTTCCAGAAAATGCCAAAATTAAAGTCCTGAGGAAAAAAGGAGAGCAGATTGCATCATGGATAAAAATTATCCATATATGGTGGATTCGGAGTTCAGAGGTTATGTCTCCTGTCAACTTCCAGTTCGAACATCCAAATAAAAGTCCAGGATTGCTTTCATTTCTGAAAAGTTTACTGGTTTATTGAATATATGGCATGGTATAGGTCAGGGGTAGGCAACCTTGGCTCTTTTATGACTCGTGGACTTGAACTCCCAGAATTCTTGAGCCAGCCATGCTGGCTCAGGAATTCTGGGAGTTGAAGTCCACAAGTCATGAAGGGGCCATAGTTCCCCCATGCTGGCTGAGGAATTCTGGGAGTTGAAGTCCACGAGTCATAAAAGAACCAAGGTTGCCTACCCCTGGTATAGGTGAAGGAAAACTAACTCTAAAATCCCAAGGCATCTTACCATAGCACGGGTAGGCAACATTGGCTCTTACCAAGGCCTTGTAAAGTGGTATTAATACTTCTACAAGAAAACAAGCAAGCTCAGAGAGCACTAAGGACCCCTCAATATGTTGACCCCTCTCTTCTCTGTGACAGCCCCTCAAATGTTGGAAGACTGTTACTATGTCACACTAGCTCTTCTCTTCATTAGACCAGACATGGTCTAATGGTTCCTTCAATCATTTCTCAAGCTTTTAGCCATTTTAAGATGAGTGGATTTCAACTCCCAGAATTCCCCAGCCCAGCTGGCTTGCTGGCTGAGGAATTCTGGGAGTTGAAGTCCCCCCACCTTAAAAATGGAAAAACGTTGCCGTAGTAGACTCTCATATTTTGTTATGGTAAGCAACACTGAATGCTGGCTTGTTAAAGATTTGTCAATTATAATTTGAGCTTTATGGGTGTCCTTGGTGCTTACAGCCTTTTTATAAAGAGGTTTGTTTGTTTATTTATCTGTTTAATCTATTTATTTATTTACGAAGTGGTGGTGGCGGCACGGCTTCCCTTGAAGTATTTTTCACAAAAAAATATTCCAGTCCATTGGGGTCTAAAATCAAGAAGAGGTTTCTTCCTGTTTGTCAAATCCTGTTTTAAACTTAATGTATGCAGCTTCCTTGGGTGGTGTAAACTTGTTCCAGCCACCTCCCTTTTCTTTCTTTAGAAACCGGAGAGTTTTTCAGCGACCAAACTAAATGTGATTATTCTGAGACTGAGCCGCAGAGCTATTGAGAAACTAGAAGGGTGGATTCATTCGGTTGGCTGAATACATCGGTTTAATCCTCTTCGGTCATGGGGTGGGGGTGGGATGGGGGGGGGAAGAGTCCCCTAGGGAAAATGGGAGGCTCTCTAGTCTCTAGTTCCCACCCTCTCCCCACGGTTCTCCGTGAAAGTTGCAGCCTCTTACAGCAACTCTTTTTAAACTTCTTACGGCCCATCTGCAGGAGCAGAAAAGCTTTGGGAAATCCTGGATCTTCCAGCTGAGAAGGGACTCAGGAAAAGCTAGAAGTCATCTTATTAAGTGATTAACCTTTCCCCCACCCTCCCCTCACTAGCCCTCTTGCGGAAATTTGACTTTTGAAATGTCGTTCAGTTCGAATTTAATCAAACTTGAAAGGGGATTAAAGCGATTTCGGGTTCTGTTTACCCTCCCCTCGCTGGGAGACCGATCCAACTGGGTTACCCGCAGAATGGGAACACAGGCAGTCCTCGACTTCGCGACCACAGTTGAGCCCAACGTTTCTGTTGCTAAAGGAGACATTTGTTTAAGTGAGTTCTTGCCCCGTTTGATGACCGTCCTTGCCACCATCGTTAAATGAATCGCTGCAGTTGTTCGGCTAGTAACATCGTCGTTATGTGAATCTGGCTTTGACTTTGCTTGTCGGAAGGTCACAAAAGGGGATCACGTGACCCTCAGGGACGCTGCAACCGTCATAAATATGAGCCAGTTGCCAAGTTGATCACGTGGCATGGAGATGCTGCAATTGGTCGCAAGTATGAAACATGATCGTATGTCACTTTTTTAGGTGCCGTTGTAACTTCAAATCGTCACTAAACAATTGGCTGTAAGCTGAGGACTACCTGTAGTATTTTATGCAAAGGCTGCTCGCTTGATTAACTTGGTTGGTAGTTGGTTGATTGATTATGTGCCATTAAGTTCGTGTCAACTCTTAGTGACCAGTTACGGTAGATAATTTTCTGCAGGATGATCTTCCTAAATCTGATGTCCCAAGTCTTCCAACGGTTTCCCCATTGCCGCTGTAACTGGGAGTTGGATCGTCCCCTTGATTGATTGATTGATAAATAATTATTGATTATTTAGGAGGCCCACGCTGTCCAGAAACATTGGGAACTAAAATCCCAGCCAACTTCCCATCTGGAAGCTACAAAGTTAGAGAAGACATTGGTTAAATGAGTTTTGCGATGTGTCTTGCCCCGGTTGTGAACGGGATCACTGCAGTTGTGAAGTTAGTAGCACGGTTGTTAAATGAATTTGGCTTCCCCCACTGACTTTGCTTGTCGGAAGATCGCAAAAGGAGATCACATGACCCCAGGACACTGCAACTGTCATAAATCCATGCCAGTTGCCGAGCATCTGAATTCTGATCACATGACCACAGGGTTGCCTTAATGCTCGTAAGTGTGAAAAATGGTTATAAATCACTTTTTTCAGGGCTGTTGTAACTTCAAACGATCACTAAATGAAGTTGAGGACCCCATGTGCTGTGTCCTGCCTCTGGTCACCATGATACAACAAAAAAGGCGTTGAGACCTTGGAAAAGTGTGCGGAGAAGAGCAACAAAGATAATGTCTAGTTTAATGAAGAGAAGGACGAGGGGGGACATGATAGCAGTGTTCCAATATCTCAGGGGCTGCCCCAAAGAAGAGGGAGTCAAGCTATTCTCCAAGGCGCCTGAAGGCAGGACGAGAAGCAACGGGTGGAAACTGATCAAGGAGAGAAGCAACTTAGAACTAAGGAGAAACTTCCTGACAGTTAGAACAATTAGCCAATGGAACAACCTGCCACCAGAAGCGGTGGATGCTCCAACACTGGAAGTTTTTAAGAAGAGGCTGGACAGCCATTTGTCTGAAATGGTGTAGGGTTCCTGCCTGAGCAGGGGGTTGGACTCGATGACCTCCAAAGTCCCTTCCAACATCATCATCATTATTATTATTATTATTATTATTATTATTATTATTATTATTATTATTATTATTATTATTATTATTATTATTATTATTATTATTATTATTATTATTATGGCCCTGAAGGCTAAATTGTACAACGAACAACTGAGGGAGCTAGCCTATCAAAGAGAAGGATTAGTGGGGATATAATTGTCTTCCAGGACTTGAGGGGCTGTCACAGAGAAAAAGGTATTAACATATTCTCCAAAGCACCTGAGGGCAGGACTAGAAGTAAGAGATGGAAACAACTAAGATGATCAAAGGCCTGGAGACTAAAACATGCAAAGAACAGCTGCGGGACTTGGGTTTGGCTAGTCTAGAGAAAAGAAGAAATAGGGGAGATATGATAGCAGTATTCCAATATTGAGGGGCTGCCAAAAAGAAGAGGGGGGTCACGTTATTCACCAAAGCACCAGAGGGCAGGACGAGAAACAACGGTTGGAAACTGATCAAAGAGAGAAGCAACTTGGAATTAAGAAGGAACTTCCTGACAGTGAGGACAATTAACCAGTGGAACAGCTTTGCCTTCAGAAATGGGCGCTCCATCGCTGGAAGTTTTTAAAAAGAGACTGGATAATCACCTGTCTGAGATGGTATGGGTCAGTGGTGGCGAACCTATGGCACGGGTGCCAGAGGCGGCACTCAGAGCCCTCTCTGTGGGCACGCACGCTGTCGCCCCACCCCCGCCACCCCCATGGCCCGTCCTCACCAGCAGTCCCCCCGGAGGAGAGTTGCCCCGGGTGCAGCCTGTGCGGAGTAGCGCAGCCAAGGACATGGCAGCCGGACAGCGGGGGCAAGACTCCACCCTCGTGCCCCATCGCGTACAGATGATGCTGCGGGGCGCGGACAGAGGGCATGGCCGCCATGACGCTGCTGGGCCGCCTGGGCGATCTGCTGTGGCGGGCCGTGGAGGTGGTGGGTGGCCTTGCGGGCAGGAGAGGTGGGGTGGGACAGGGACGAGGCGGTTTTTGGGCACTCGGTCTCTAAAAGGTTCGTCATCACTGGTATAGGTCTTCCTGCTTGAGCAGGGGGCTGGACTAGAAGACCTCCAAGGTCCCTTCCAGCTCTATTCTATTCTATTATCAAAGAGAATCCAGTCTTCAGCCCTCCTGAAAAAGCACCTTTGGGACAACCATGACTTGGATGACTGAGAATCTCCATAGACATTTAGCGATGCACTTTGGGATGAGCACCCTTCGAACGGTGCGGGAGTATGAATGGATTTCCAGAAAACATTGCAGACTGCAGGAACCATTTGCACTTCAGTTTGAGATGCAGACAACACAGACTCATCCCCAACAGCCTGTGTTCCTGTCTTCAACAGGGAAGGGACCCAGGGCAAAAAAAATCCTGCAGCCTAGAAGGCTCCACACCCATTTGCACCACTCAGGTGACCCTGAGGACGCAGTTAAACCTCCAAGTGGCCTCAACGATGACTCTCTAAAAGAAGGCAAATGACCAGCTGTCTGCAAGGAGTATAAATCCTTCTCTTCTCCACCATCCAGTCAGAGCTGAAGAAGCTTCTTGGATGAGGAGCAAAACGTCTTCAAAGAAAAACAAGAAAGTCCAGTTGCCTCCAGAAATGTACCTTTGGGATTATCAAAGAGAGAAGCAACCTACAACTAAGGAGAAATTTCCTGATAGTGAGAACAATGAATCGATGGAATAGCTTGCCTCTTAGAGTTGTGGGTCCTCCATCACTGGAGGTTTTTAAGAAGAGACTGGACAACCATTTGATTGGGAAGGTTCCCAAATGGCAATTCCCTGGAGGCTACAACTGTCCTAAGTACATGCCAGTTTCTAAGCACTTGAGTACTGATCATATGACTCTGGGGATTCATGTAAGGGCCAGTTGCAAGTCACTTTTTCCAGTGCTCTTGTAACTTTGAGCGACCGCTAAACGAATGGTTGTAAAACAAGGACTTCTTGTATATCTCTTGTGAGTCAACATTCAGTCCCTGACTTACAGCACTTCATTTAGTGACCGTTCGAAGTTACAACAGCACTGAAAAAAGCGACCCATGACTGTCTTTCACGCTTAACGACCGTTGCAACATCCCCGTGGTCACGTGATCAAAATTCAGAGGTTTGGCAACTGACTCAAATTTATGACCGTCGCATGTCTGGGCTCATGTGAACCCCTTTTGCGATCTGACAAAAAGCAAAAAGCCAGATTCACTGAACAACCCGTGTTCCTAATTTAACAACTGCAGCGATTCACTTAACAACTGTGGCAAGGAAGGTCGTAGAACGGGGCAAAACTCACTTAAACAAACGTCTCGCTTAGCAACAGAAATGTTGGGCTCAATTGTGGTCGTAAATTGACGACGACCTGTGCTTGGCAGATGTGTTAAGAATAAGCTTCTCTGTGCAGAATTCGATTGTATAACTTCTGCTATTTTGGGGACACTCAACTGTGGGAAGTCAACCCCACCCCCAGAGAAAGAAATATTTTTGGAAATATTTAAAAGGCAAAATATATTTCCCTATAGGACTTTAAAAGCAGAAACCAACCTTGCCCCCAAGTGTCTCTGTCCCAAACAGAAACCAAGTCTGCAGAATTGCAGATGTGATAATCTTGTCAGAAAGACTGGAATCAGGAAACTGGGATTAGGAAGAAAGATCCCTAGAATCAACACACCAAAAATTTAAGAGTCATCAGCCACAGCCCCATGGAAGCAGGATATGACCTTTGGAGCATAATAGGATTAACCCACCACCATCAGAATACCAGAAAGGCACACTCAGACTCAGGTCAAAATTCATGCCACAGGAACAACTCCAAACAAGAGGCTCAAGAAGGTATAAAAACCCACTCCCTACATATGCCTTCTCTTTTTTTTCTTCTAGAGCCATCTTTCTGTCTGGCTCTCCTCTTCAATAAACTGCAACCTTCTTTCTAAAGCAGTCGCCATGTTGTTTATTCCCGGCTTGGACTGAACCATGAGGAAGACTTTTCCTTCAACACAACCCTTTTCTATTGTTTTTTTTTTCTCCAGGTTACCTGCAAATATCTGAAAAATCCTAAACTGCCAGACAGATTGTTGCTCCAGAATATCTTCCAGGCTGTAAACATCTACTACAACTACACAGGAAAGACCTCCTGCCTGAACTTAACTCAGACCGCTACTAAAAGTCTGGGCCTTCGGGGCTGGTCTTACCAGGTGGGTGTGTACCCCGTAATCACCATGGCGATTTGGGGGGGAGGGCGAATGGCAGTCATGATGTAAGGGCACCCCTTGTTTTTCTTTGAAGATGTTTTGCTTCTCATCCTCAGCTCTGACTAGATGGTGGAGAATGGAAGGATTTATGCTCCTTGCAGATCGCTGGTCATTTGCCTTCTTTTAGAGCAGGGTCTTCAAACTTGGCCCTTTTATGACTTGTGGACTACAAGTCATAAAAGGGCCAAGTTTGAAGACCCCTGCTCCACACCCATTTGCACCGCTCAGGTGATCCTGAAGACACAGATAAACCTCCAGGTGGCCTCAACGACTCTCTAAAAGAAGGCAAATGACCAGCTGTCTGCAAGGAACATAAATCCTTCCCTTCCCCACCATCCAGTCAGAGCTGAGGAAGCTTCTTGGATGAGAAGTCCAGTTGCTTCTTGACTGGAGGCAAGTCGTTCCACTGATTAATTGTTTTCACTGTCAATAAATTTCTCCTTAATTCCAGGTTGCTTCTCTCTTTGATCAGTTTCCAACCATTGTTTCTTGTCCTTCCCTCTGGTGCTTTGGTGAACAACCTGACCCCCTCTTCTTTGTGGCAGCCCCTCAAATACTGGAACACTGCTATCATGTCTCCCCTATTTCTTCTTTTCTTTAGACTAGCCAAACCCAAGTCCTGTAGCCGTTCTTTGTATGTTTTAGTCTCCAGGCCTTGGATCATCTTAGCTGCTCTTCTCTGCACTTTTCCCCAAACTTTCCACAATTAATCTCTACTGTTTTCCTCTTTTTCTCATCTCCAAGGCCTGCACGGAGATGGTGATGCCCATGTGTTCAGATGGTATCAATGATATGTTTGAGCCACAGAAATGGGACTTCCATGCTTACTCAGAAGATTGTTTCAAAGCCTGGGGGGTACGACCCCGCCCTTACTGGATTCCCACTATTTATGGTGGGAAAAACATAAGTGCTCATAGTAACATCATTTTCAGGTGAGTTTCGTTGTACATGGCAATAGCGCTTAGACTTATATATCGCTTCAGAGTGCTTTACAGTGCTCTCTAAGTAATTTTACAGAGTCAGCATAGTTGCCCCCAACAATCTGGGACCTCATTTTACCCACCTTGAAAGGATGGAACGCCGAGTCAACCTTGAGCCGGTCAGGATCGAACTCCTGGCAGTCAGTAGAGTCAGCCTGCAATACTGCATTCTAACCACTGCGCCACCACGCTTCTACTTAGTCTTATATACTGTACTGTCCCACAGTGCTTTACAATATTCCCTGGGCAGTTTACAATGCAGAAGCATTATTTGCATATTGCACCCAACAATAGAATAGAATAGAGCTGGAAGGGACCTTGGAGGTCTTCTAGTCCAGCTCCCTGCTGAAACAGGAGAACCTATACAGTCTCAGACAGGTGAATGTCTAGTCTCTTCTTAAAAATCTCTAGTGATGGAGCGCCCACGATTTCTGAAGGCAAGCCATTCCACTGGTTAATTGTCCTCACCGTCAGGAAGTTTCTCCTTAATTCCAGGTTGCTTCTCTCCTTGACCAGTTTCCAACCATTGTTTCTTGTCCTGCCCTCGGGTGCTCTGGAGAATAGTTTGATGCCCTCTTTGAGGCAGCCCCTCAAATACTGGATCTGGGTCCTCATTTTACCGACCCCGGAAGGATGGAAGGCTGAGTCAACCTTCAGCCCCATCAGGATCGAACTACTGGCTGTGGGCAGAGTTTGCCAGCAATACTGCTTTCTAACCACTGGGCCACCAGGCATGTTAGACACGGCGCATGGGGATGTGTTTTCCCACACCAGTGACCAAGCTCAAATTACTAGTAATAGTCCTCGACTTACAGCCATTCCTTTAGCGACTTTTCGAACTAGTGATGAAGCACCAGGCTAAAAACCAAGAGATTGTGAGTTCTAGTCCTGCCTTAGCTGTGAAAGCCAGACTTTGGGCCAGTCCTACTTCAGCTCACTTCACAGGCTGGATATTGTGGGGAAAATAGGAAGAGGGGAGAGTTAAAGAGCCAGTTTGGTCTAATGATGAAGGCGCCAGGCTAGAAACCAGGAGATTGTGAGTTCTAGTCCTGCCTTAGATGTGAAGGCCAGCTGGGTGACATTCGTCTAATTGCCAGGAGATGGTGAGTTCTAGTCTTGCCTTAGGCATGGAGGCTGGCTGGTTGACTTTAGGCCAATCACCAGGAGACTGTAAGTTCTAGTTCTGCCTTAGGCATGAAAGCCAACTGGTGACTTTAGGCCAGTCACTCTGTCCCAGCCTGGCCCACCTCATAGGATGGCTGTTGTGGGGGAAATAGGAGGAGGGAAGAGGATTAAGTATGTTCGCCCACTTGAGTAATGTATAAAAATAACCAAAGGTGGGATATAAGAAAAATAATCAGGTCCTGGGATGGCTGCCGAAGGAACTATCTTCGGATGCTTGAGTGTTGATGTCATAATTGATAAGAAAGATGCGCTCCGATCTGGGATGGTATTGTCGTGCTGTTATTGTTTCCCTACATTTCCCGTTAAAGCGTGCCGTTTACGCCTGTCTTCTCCATTCTCTGCCAGCAACGGAGGATTCGATCCCTGGTCCGGGGGTGGCGTGACAAAGAATATCACGGACACTCTAGTTGCAATCATCATCCCGGAAGGAGCTCACCATCTGGATCTGCGGGCCAACAACCCCTCGGATCCCATCTCCGTCCTGCAGGCTCGCCTCTTGGAAGTCCACTACATGAAGTTGTGGTTACAGAAACAAAAGAGGGTTAAAAAGTGCCCAAAGTAACTGGATTATAGTTGGGGTTTTTTGTTTTGTTTTTTTTGTAGCAAATACTTTCTTCTAGTTACCATCTCCTTTCTGGATTGTGGCTTCTTCATCTCGCTTCCTGGGCCTTCTCTACCTTCTCCCAATTTTTAATCCCAGTGTCTGTTTGAGAGAAGCTGGATCCTCCACGGCTCAGCTTCGCTTGGTGACATCCCATCCATGTATCTCATTATGGGAAGCCGAGAGTATTTCTTCCTGCTGTTCCTTGAGGTGTAGGACCAGTGGTAGGGATTCAAAGAGGTGAACCACCGATTCTCTGTGTGGATGCCGCTTCCGGAAGTCCATTCTGAGCCTGGACAACAAAAAATTAGTTACCGGTTCTGCCGAAGTGGTGCGAATCGGCTTGTTCTGGATCACGTAGGTTTGTATGTTAGAATGTTGGCATTTTTTGGGTTAAGTGCTGTCTCCTTAAGAGATGGCTTATGGGTAAGGTAGTTTTAGCTAGTCAGCTATATCATGTTAATAGGTCAGTGGGAGGATTTTCTAAAGGGCATTGCAGGACTTCTTGGACACGAGCCAGTTTGGAATGTTTTTGTCTAAGAGAAAGCATGGGATCATCGCATATCTCCGATGGCGCTAATCCACGTTATAGAAGTGGTATGGAGGAACCATTAATTTCTCACATTAATTAATGGAGGAACCATTAATTTCTCACTGTTCTGATCCAGAGTTAAGATGTTTTGTAAAACTGGGTCAGACAAACTCAATAAAGATGATTCCAAAACAGATATATATTTATTCAGAGAAATACTTGCATTTATCCTTATAGGTGAGAAATTAATGGTTCCTCCATACCACTTCTATAAGGTGGATTAGAGCCATCGGAGACATGCGATGACCCCATACTTTTCTTAGACAAAGACATTCCGAACTGGCTCGTGTCCAGGAAGTCCTGCAATGCCCTTTAGAAACTCCTCCCACTGACCTACTAACATGATATAGCTGACTAGCTAAAACTACCTTACCCATAAGCCATCCCTTAAGGAGACAGCACTTAACCCAACAAATGCCAACATTCTAACATACAAACCTACGTGATCCAGAACACGGCTGAATCCCACCACTTTGTAGGACCCACAACTGGGAAAGGAGAATGCTTCTATTCCTCAACCCCTTTTGCCTTTTACTTGCCCCCTACTTGCTTAGCTGTCTTCATACGGGGAGCTGGACTCCATATTGTCTTAATTTAAGGAACTCAAGGGAAAAAACGGGTGGTAGGGTAGCTGATAGCCTCCTGACTTTAAAGAAAAGAATAGACAAATTTGTGAAGGAACGTTTGTCCTCAAAATACTTGAGACAATAATTACGTTGTCCCTTGCCACTGGCTGGAAGGCATTCCACTTGTACGGATCCTGCTCTTGATCTGGGCTGTTTACCTTGAAATCCAGTCAACAGGAAGCACTATTAGAGCAGAAGACTTTTGTTTTTGTGTGTTGTTTGGTTACCAGGATGGTGCTAAACAAGATGGGCCTGTGGCCACTTGTGCTGAGCTACCATGCTAGTAGTTGCTCAGCTAGAAGATAGGGAGTGTGTAGATCAGGGGTCTTCAAACTTGGCAACTTTAAGACTTGTGGACTTTAACTCCCAGAATTCCTCAGCCAGCCCTCAGGGCTGGCTGAGGAATTCTGGGAGTTGAAGTCCACAAGTCTTAAAGTTGCCAAGCTTGAAGATCCCTGGTGTAGATCATCCCCTGCAAGTCACACGTTTTAGTTCTGACCAGCTTTAACACCAGTGACGGTTGAAATTACTACAGATAGTCCTCAACATACGGCCATATTTGAGCCCAACATTTTTGTTGTTGAGCGAAACATTTGTTACATGAACTTTGCCCCATTTTACAACCTTTCTTGCCACAGTTGTTAAGTGAAATCACTGCAATTGCTAACTTAGTAACACGGTTGTTAAGTGAACCTGGCTTCCTCATTGACTTTGCTTGTCAGATGGTCACAAAAGGGGATCACATGATCCCGGGACACTGCAACCGTCATAAATAGGAGTCAGTTGTCAAACATCTGAATTTTGATCACACGACTATGGGGACGCTGCAATCAATGGTCGTAAGTGTGAAAAACAGTCGTAAGTCATAAGAAAAGACTTAAATGCCCTTATGCTTTTAAAATTGAGGCTTGTCATGGTAAAAATTTACGCATTCTTAGGTTGATTATCTCTCTTTATTAAAACCTTCATTTGAATCATTTTGAGGGGGAAATAATAAGGGAACGAGCACTTAAGAAATAATCCAAGCAAAGTTTCTGTTAAATCTCCAATAAACCTTTAGTTGGTTTTTGAGAGAGCCGTATTGGTTGCAAATTTTAGCTACTTAAAATTTTGGCCAAAGTTTTGAAGCATCTTGAGTCAAGAACAAATCCAGGAGTGATTGGTATCACTGGTGGCACAAATTTGTCTCATTTCTGTTCTCAACATTTTTGAGGATATGCACACTTTTTCTATAAGGCTGTACAGATCCCAGGTTATTGCATGAAACGAATGGATGGGTGGGTGGGTGGATGGGTAGATGGATGGATGAATGAATGGGTAGATGGATGGATGGATTGGTGGATGGATGGATGGATGGGTAGATGGATGAATGGATGGGGGGGTAGATGGATGGGTGGGTGGGTAGATGGATGGGTAGATGGATGGATGGATTGGTAGATGGATGGATGGATTGGTAGATGGATGGATGGGTGGGTGGATGGCTGGCTGGCTGGATGGATGGATGGATGGGTAGATATCTTTATTTTGGTTAGTTATTATTCTTGAGAAGATGAACTGTGATTTGTACAATGAAAAAATGACATTGTGATCCAGAAATAAAAAAAATACTGCTGTTAATAAAAGTAGAAAACCAGTGTATCTATTTGGCAATGCTTCTTAATTAAACAAACCAGGCAGAGAAACTCCGGAGCCTGGAAAATATATATCTTGTGAAGAGACCTGGGCGACTGGGAATGAAAAAAGATGATTGGAGATTGAAAGAAGAGATAAAGAAACATTTTTCAAGTGCCTGAAAAGCACTTTAAAAAGGGGATGGGCTTTCACTGATGTACGGTCCCTTCTTGACATTTTGGATCCCCACCCTCCACCCCCGGATCCCAGCTACAGCTGAATGGCAGTCGAAAGCTGTCCCCTATGTTTTTTTCATCCCACACAATAAGTTATAAAACGGGTAGGCAACCTTGGCTCTTTGTGGACTTCAACTCCCAGAATTCCTGAGCCAGCATGGAATTCTGGGAGTTGAAGTCCACGAGTCATAAAAGAGCCAAGGTTGCCTACCCCTGGTATAGGGTCTCCTGCCTGAGCAGAGGGCTGGACTGGAAGACCTCCAAGGAGTCTATTCTGATTCTGACTCTCAATGGCTCCTTTCCAACTTGACATTCTCTTTCTTCTCAACCTTAAAAACTTGAAGAGTTGTCAACTGGCAGGCTAAGCTCCTTTTCAATTAACAAATTTTATTCAAGGGACAAGCTTTAGTGAACATGGGCTAAAATACAAGTAGCCCTCCACATACGGCCCCAAATGAGCCCCAAATTTCTGTTGTTAAGTGAAACAATTGTTTTGCCCCATTCTATGACTTTTCTTCCCTCAGTTAAGTGACTCACTTTAGTTGGTAAGTTAGTAACACATTTGTTCAGTGAAACTGGCTTCCCCCATTGAATTTGCTTGTCAGAAGGTTGCAAAAGTGATCACATGACCCCTGGACGCTGCAACCGTCATAAATACGAGTCAGTTGCCAAGCATCTTGAGTTTTGATCACGTGGCCACGGGGATGGTACAACAGTCACAAAGTGTGAAAAACAGTCATAAGTCACTTTTTTCGCTGCTGTTGTCCCTTCGAAAGGTCACTAAATGAACTGTTGTAAATTGGGGACTACCTACGGTACATACCAAAAAGTTGTGCCGCCTTCCTCAAAATACACAACAAGAAATTCTATTTATAGCTTTAACTTAAGGGGGCAGTATTGTATTTAAGAAAACGTCCTGACTTCTGTCGTATTTTTTTTTTTTTTTATTAAAGTTTTTTCCACTGATCACACCGTTAACAGGAGTTATTCTAGATTGGTCTCCCAATTTTCACTTGAGGGAAAATTTAAAAAAAGAGCCCTAACGTCAGAGTTTATAAAGGGCGAAGGACTTGAAAGGGGGAGCTTGGGGCACCCGATTCCTTCCGTTGTCCTTGTGTTCCTAATCTGTGAAACCCCCGTGGGGTGGCGTAAGCAGTTTAGGCCTCTGCCATAAAGAGGAAGGGGACCGTTTAATGACAAAAGTAATGTGATTATCTGACTGAATGCGAGGAGGGGGCGTGGGCTGAGGGCTTAAAGGAAATCTGTTAGAATAGCTGAATCTATCTGCTTAATCTTTTCTCTGAGGTGGCTGCACAATGCCTTCTTTTAGGGAGTAAATGCTGAGTCTTAAGAGGTGGGCACAGTAGCTTGTGGTGATTTGAAATGCGTCTTTCAAATAAAATCTCTGCAGAACTCGAGCTGGGGGCTAAAACATAGAAGGAACGGTTGCTGGAATTGGGTAAAAAAAGCAGTCAGTAACCAGCTCTGACTCTCATTTATCCATATTAGCCAGAAACTTGCTTGAGTTGTAACTAAAGGCCGTTAGCATACATCAAGGTATGCTGAGACTCTAGAAAGAGTACAGAGAAGAGCAACAAAGATGATTTGGGGACTGGAGGCTAAAACATACGAGGAATGGTTGCTGGAATTGTGTATGTCTAGTTTAACGAAGAGAAGGACGAGGGGGGACATGATAGCAGTGTTCCAATATCTCAGGGGCTGCCCCAAAGAAGAGGGAGTCAAGCTATTCTCCAAAGCGCCTGAGGGCAGGACAAGAAGCAACAGATGGAAACTAATCAAGGAGAGAAGCAACCTAGAACTAAGGAGAAACTTCCTGACAGTTAGAACAATTAACCAGTGGAACAACCTGCCTCCAGAAGCGGTGAATGCTCCAAC